TGAATCTTGGTGTCTAGTTTGGAATCAAAGTAAGTTGGAGGAGCAGGTGAACAAATCTCTCTCAAGATTTGTTTGCCGCGGCGAAGTGAAACTTCATCGCGATGAAGCAGAGAGTTTTGGGAGAGCTTCCTTTCGCAAATAGGTTTTCGTTGTGACTAAGTTAAGGGGAAGTCGGGACGAAAGGTGTCAGGTGAGCAAGAGTTCCTCTCCGGAAAAATTTATTGCCACGACGAAATGGGTTTTTGGCTGCGACAAACTTGGGTCTCTAGGTTAGAAAATCCCTCTCGGAATTAGTTAGTCGCGACCAATTACTGGGTTTGTTGTGACGAAAAGGTCACGTCTTTAAATCCGGAGAAGGGGTCTAATGTGCGAAAATTAGAAAATCTGAAGGAAAAGAGAGAGACTCTGCTAGGGTTTCGGTGTTTTGGCTTGGAGAAAGTGTTCCTAAGGGTTCAATACCTCAAGTAAGTAAATCTAACTTTTAATCTATTTTCTTTCTCGGAATTTTTGAGGATTTATGGTGAAACCCTAGAGTTTTCTATTTTCTGATGGAATTGAGATTTTTGACTGATTGTTTTAAGTTTAAATGATTATTATGGGCTAGTCTAAGTATTTAATCGGTGTAGTTTTCTTGAATTTGGAGATTTGGAAGTTTTGGGAATTTGGGGTTTGTAAAAATAGAGGTTTATGATTGAGGATGATAATATAGTAGTTGAAATTAGGTTATGTTAAGGAAGGTTAAATTGGATGTTTAATTGGTTTAGAATGTTATTAGGACTTGATTTTTGTTCTAATTGGATGTTTGAGTGATGAATTTCTAGAGTGGGATTTGAGTTTCTAAATTCAATTGAGGTTTTGGAAGGGAAGCTATAGTATTAATGGTCTCTTGTGGTTTTGGAGAGTTATTGTGATGATTTTGGCTCTTGTGAGTTGGGTAAAGTTTTGGTTGAGGCTAGGAATTTTGAGTCTCCAAATGTTGTGTTAACCAATTTATTAGTTTGAAAGCTAATACATAGAAGTTGTGTGTTTGTGTGCTTGTGTAGACCTGTTGTGAGTATTTGTTAGTGTACGGGGTATCGTGGTGTTTTTGTTATTTCTTGCTCAGGCGAGAGGTAACCACTTTCTAATCCTTTGTACATGCTGTTATGGTATTGTAAGTGGATTTATATTTTGTGCATCAAATAATAACTGGTGTTCTAAATGTATTTTTGTATATCAAAAAGGAATAGTTGTCTTGTGGGTCTTTGTACAACACTGAATGCATTGGGAATTTTCTGAAAGATATGTCACTGATTGAAATTACTTACAAAATGGTATATTTACTCTTTGGTAAAGATGTTTGATCATGATGCATGTGTTGGGATTGGTGAGAGATTGCATTGTTACTACCACGTGGTAAGACCTCCATTAATATATGATGGGTGGCTTTTTACATCCCCTAGAGTGAGGGATAGGTCCTTGTGGCTCCTTACGTCCCCCACAGTGAGAGATAGGCCGGGTTCAGCTCTTTGAAATCCCCCAAAGTGAGGGATATATTGATGGGTTGCATCATTGTACTTGCATGGTTCTTTGTGGCTATCACTTACAGTTTTACATGTAACTGCCCCCACTTGACACCTCTTGAGCACCTATTCATCTGTACTCTGTATTGGAATGTTGGTTACTGGGACTTCTATCTCACCCCGGGGTTATATTGTTTTCAAGTGAAGGTTCTAAGTGTACGTCTTTGGGAAGGGACGTGGAGGTTTGAGCTTGGTTAAGCTGTAATGCCTCTAGCCTGTGGTATATGTATGACCAGTGTATATTGCCACATCTAGGGTCTTTTTGAAATATTTTGATTGCATGACCTTATTGTAAACAGGTGAAAGTGTCACCTCCTTATTTTTGTTGGCCGGAGGCCATTCTTAATGTTGTATAAAATTCTGAATTTGTGTTCATGTGGACAGTTGGATGGGCTTATGTATGATATCCTTTGTTGCCTGAGCCTGAGACTCGGAGGCCCAATGGAATGATTTGATTGATGAATGAATGATCTTTGGTTACATGCAATTTGTTTGGGTTTCTGCCCGCAGCTTAATTGTCAATTCTGAAAATGGTTTACAAGGTTTCTTTTCTACTATGGTAGCTTGTCTATCAGATTTCCTTTTCTACCATAGTAGTAATTTTATGACAAGATAGTAATTGTTAATGAGTTGATAATGTTTGAGGGTAAGAGTTTTACTACCGTTGAGTTTGGATCTAATATTGTCACTTTTAAAGCCTATGATTCTCTGCATGTAGATCTAAATTAGTTTATCATGATTTGTGTGGCTCTGGTTACCATGTGTTAGAAAGTTATGACAATGTTTGACAATTTATAGTCAAGCAGATCGGAAGGTGTCAAGAAATTGAATGAATTAATACAAAACTTACATGTATATGTAGGAAAAAGGAAACATGATTTGTTTGTCTTTTGTGTCGGAACTTTTGGTTTTTTTTTTTTTTTTGTTTATTGGATAAGTTATTCTTTCTGTGATCTAATAGTAGCTATTTAAAGTGGCAGTTTCTATCGCATCCAATTCTTTGAAAGCAGAGACTTGGTTACGAGATAAACTTCTTCGGATGATGATATGAGATAGCTCAAAGATTCCTAGACAATTATAAAATCCTAACTATGTGATCCATAAGTCTTAAATAATTCATACATTTCTCAACCAAGACACATCTAATTCTGTACCACATTTCTAGGCCTTTTAAGAAGCTCAAAAAAGGTTCAAGTCCATGTAAAATTATATGGGTAAAAAATCATGATTGGGGATTAAGGCTTACATGTTGTAAGGACCAACAATAGTATTAATCCTAAATAATTATTTTATCAAGCATGTATTTTACAAAATTCCAAAAAAATAACTTAAACAAAATAATGACAGAACAGTCTATATGAAAGTATATTTTTTTCATCCCCTCTCATCTCGTTGATACGAACGAGTTGTTATTAGATCTCTTTCCATTCCTTCCTTTCTTTTAACTAAACGGAGACTCAAAACAAGTATGGTATTGAAGATTCAAACAAGAGAAATTAAATAATTAAGGAAGCGTGGTTATAGAATCTGTTTCCTCCTGCAGTTGCAATAGACGTTCAAGCTGCACTTCAACATCTCCCATATCAGGCCTCTCATTGGGATCTTCTCTCAAGCAGCTCTCTGTAATGTCCACATACAATTTCCAGCCCCCCTTCTATTTCTCCCACCAAACTCTCATCAATAATTCCCTCAGCTCTTCCTGTTTCTACCAAATCACATACTTCCTTAACTACACTGAATGCAAATGGGAAAACATTTGCAATCTCATCAATATGATGCCCCTTATGCTGAGCCATTTGGGATAAAGTCTTTCCGCAAATGAGTTCTAACAAAACTACCCCAAAAGAATAGACATCACATTTATAGGTAACATTAGTACCACTAAAGCATTCAGGAGCCATGTATCCCATAGGGCCTTCAAAGTATTCCATCTGTATGGGTTTGGCTTCCTTTTCTGAAAACTTCGGTCCTTTTACAGAGAACCCCAAAAATGTGAGTTTGGGAACCCAATTCTCGTCCAAACGAATGGCAGCCGATTTTATATTCCGATGAAGGATGGTGCGTAGGTTCCTGAGTGAAGGTAGTGTAATCCACGCGCCACCCCTATACTGATCTCTAGCCTTTTCTTCCACGGTTGAATTGGCGACTTGCTCTCTATTCTATGAAGTTGATGATAGAGTGATCCATTTGGGGCGTAGTCGTAGACCACAATCATTTCATTTTCATCATCGCAAAATCCAACCAGTGACAACAGATTCGGGTGGCGTAGCTGGCACGTAAATATGATATCTTTCTTATACAGTGAGAGCCCCTCTGCAGAAATCGCTACTTGGAGTCGCAGCCGCTTCACTGCAGTATCTTTCAGTTCGCCATTGATGGAGATGCAGGCTCTGTACGCTACACCGTAGGGCCCTTCACCGATCTTCCTGCTCTCGTCAAAGTCGTCGGTGGCTTTCCGAAGTTGCGCGAGAGAAAAGCGATGGCACAAATATTCTATTGACGCGGAAGGTTGTTTTCGAGAAGCCGAACCACAGCCTCCAAAGCACTTGTGAAGGATCCCCATTCCCAGCAACACAACTGCGTTTGCCCTTCTTGATCTGACAAATTTGTCAACGCCCTAGCCTAGCGAGAACTCTCATTTTGACATATATTACGATACATAATAACAGGAGGTATTAGTACATAATAATGCTGTACTATTTAGTCTCTATTAATAGTGGACTAATTTAATTTGTTTTTTAGTGTCCAATGATATAATCAGTAACATGTTATGGTGATTGTGTTTTGGGTCCATCCCAAAACCACGTGTAACAAGTGCCCTGAAGATTCGACTTCAACCAACACGTTCGAGTTTTGACTATTGGAAAGTTGACTTTATTCTTTTTTGCAGTCTTCGTGCTATTTCTAAATTTCTATCATAAACAACATTTATTACTTTCTTAAATCCTTTTTTTACCGAAATGATACTTTCCTGAATGTAGTTATTAAGAGTCCTTAGTTATATTTTATGTTCAACTCTCGGTGTTCAATCGGTCACCGCCAAGAAGAAAATGTGAATCACGTGCGTTGAGGAGTTTGTATGCGAACCATCCGAAGCAATGATCTCTTCCTGTATCTGTTTTTATCTTATGAATGGTGTTAAACAACCACCATATGGTGACTATTTTGAAAAGAAATAAATAAATAAAAAATAAAATGAACCAGATCTTATATTTATAATTAAATTAAATTTCTAACTAAAAAATACTTCCTTCAATCCTAAATAAAAGACCCATTTTATAGTGTAAATACCACAAAATAGTCTTACATCTAGACCTAGAGAAATACTTCATAATTTACCTAACAATTATATTTCTGTACCTTGTGAACTACATTGACTATGATTGTGTCTGGAGTTCAAATATTTTTTATATAAAATCAATTATGTCCTAAAATCACTAGGAAACAAGGTCATGGTTGTATGTTTATTCCCTTTAAGCATAAGAAGAATTTTTTTTTTAATATATATAATCAGGTACATGAAGGCAACATATAGAGTTGATTTCATTTCAACAAACAATTATACCAACCCAACAATGAAACACCACCAAGAAAGCCACCACCTATGAAAATTGTGTACAGAATTTACTGTTTCAGAGAAACCGTCACAATATAACTGGCATCACAATCTTCACCAGGCCAATTTCTCTTTACCTGTTGCGAAAACCAGACGATCAAATAAGAGTTGTGTCATGAGGAAGTCTTTGGCAGTCAAAAATCATGTTAAACTGAATGCGAGGGTAACACTTGATCACCTAGGAAAGACATCTTTGATCCCTTCAGCTGAGAGTGCTATAATATTACACAAACACACTTGTTCTGCTTCGGTTCGCTTCTTGCTTTCTTCTCTGTTTTAGACGAGAAGGGCCAAGAATATCAATCATAAAATTAAATTTAAAAAAAAAAAAAAACTAAAACAGAACAAGCTCAAAATATTGGAAAAGAACTAAAACAATCTTGTGTCTTTTATGTAAGTAGATGAATTAGATCTGTTAGAGACAAGTATAGGAGAGTAAATTTGATCAGTTCGGTATCCTCTTGAAAGTGAATGTTAAGTGATGTGCAGAATTAGAAATGTCAATGGATAATTGAGGGAAGGGTTCCCCAATGGAATCAAGTTATGAGAGACTTGAACAACCAATTCAACCTTTTTGCTTTGTTCCATGTCTCGGAGAAAAGGACGCAGAAAAGTCCATATGGATAAGATAAAAGCAAAGCAAACAAAAGCCAACAAAATCGACCTCTATTCGTGATTTAAGGAAGGTGTTTGCTGTCGCTTATGGTTACCTTTTGACCAAGAAAAGTCTGACAACTGGATTACACAGCCAATTCTTTTAGGAGATCACAAATATGCAGTTTTCTTTTGGAAAGTGACGTATACCAGATTTTTCTAAAGACAATTTAATTACTACTTGCAGGCTGTAGCCTAGTCTTTCCACCAGTGAAGAGACCGTCCATAAGCACAAAACACCTCAAATCTTTTAAAAGAGCCAGACATGGGACTCAAATCATAAAAACAATTGTGATCATTAAACCTCTGTCGAAGTTAAATAGAACAACACTAAGAATCCTTAAGCTATCCAAACAATATACAGTTCAATAACACAGACAACTATCAATAGTAACTCTTAATGTGACTGCAAAGAGAAACCAGACCTTTATCCCCAGCAGGGGGTTGCACGACCACATGCATTGTTGTAACTCCACCAGGGATATCACATAACGGACTCTGGCACTCCCCCACCGTTCTGCTGTTTTCCAGTATTTTTCCGGCACTAATTAACTTCACATCTTTTACAGTCCTTGGACCATTCTCCTTGTCTTCAAAACAAAAACAGATTTATGGTTCTAATAGATCACTAAAAACCATGATAAAATGTTAATAACGATGCCTCTTGATAAACTAAATCAACAAGAAAAGCATCTAAAAGCACAATTGTAATAATTTATCATATCATCTAGACGTGCTTGCATTGACTATTGCATACGTGACTTTGCAGAACATGGGATCTCTGGCACATATTATATATACCAGCAAATTGCAATGATGTTGATGACCGCTAAGCCTGGTTCTTCGTAAAAGATTTTTCTTTAGGGGTCTGCCATGTGTTTTTAACCATAGCAAATGACTTCCAATACAATTTAAGTACCATATCATGGATACTCCTCCTGAGATAAGAAGCCATATTGCCATCTTGACCAGTGACTTCATTACTTGTAATTAATAAAAATCTATGAAAACGAAATATCAAATCTTCTTCTTTAGCCAGAACCATACACGACCACTTCAGAAGGAAAAGATACGCAGTACCGGAATGAATGAGAGGTAAAAGATTAAAAAAAAAAAATACTAATTATGTGATATAAACAAGTATTTTCCATCTTTCTCATTTCATGCCATAGAAATCCCATCATCACAGGTTATTGACAAAATTTATGAACTCCTAAATGCTGCTGTTATTGACACAGTCATTTTTCTTGCCCAGGCAAAGGCTCCAAAGTTTCAAAAATCTACTCATCTAGAAGCAGAACCTGGGTTGTCTTAGAGATACAGCACAAAGTTCATTCCCCTTTCTCAACATAAACAAGCTTTAGCATGATTGGCTGTCTCAACGTAATCACTCAAGAATTAATTATTTTAACGTCATCACTTCAACGATGGCCGCATCTTCGGCAATCTGTTGAAAACATAAGTGATATTTGTAAACCCCGATCAAGAGAAACCAATATTTCTCCATCTTCGTCAATAGTTCTCTTCTATAAACCAACACATCCAAGCACTGACATCCATTTATTTTTACTTTGCAAAGTGAATTACCCGATAGAGCAGCTAGTAAACAGGAAGTACAGAACATCTTCTTACCCAGAAATTCAAAGGAAGACCAGAAGGAATTAAAGGATATAGCAAAAAAAGGGGAGGGAGGGGGAGAGAGCTGACCATTTGGCCACTGAGCAAGAATACTCTCCTTCAAGGTAGCAATACTTGTAGCAGCAGGAAAACTCTTAGGGCCAATATCAGAACCATCGGTCAGCCGAAACTTGATCTCTAATTGATCTTGCCTCCTCGCCATGCTCACAGAAATGGAAAGCAATCTTGAAATTAAACAATCCAACAATCCAGTAAATCACTTCGACTGATTATCACGAACAGAAAGGATTCATCAAAATCTCCCTCCAATGTTCTGTAATTTTATATCAAGAACAAAAAAAAAGGAAATTGAGCCAGCCACATCTAAATCCCAGCAGACAACTCGCACCATACAATATGGACACCGGGAAATTGGGGGAAGTTTGAATAGTATTAAAGCTGTTATGGTCAGAAGTTCTAGAAACAAGTAATTGAAATCCAGTATGTAATCCTTTAATGAAAAACTTTTACGACGAAAATTCAACTCACTCACACCGACACAGAGCAATCGCTAACAGCTATAATTAAGCAAGCAAATCGCGATCCAATCTCCGCGTGATCATCATTGAATCGGGAAATCTTCACCAGTTGGGAAAAGGGAATTAAAAGAAAAGCGAAAAGAAAAATGAAAACCCAAACAAAGGAATAGAAATCTGGACGGATATTTCGAACGCTTTGGCTATATCATCACTGATCTGGGTGGTGGTTGTGTGCAAGTGACACAGTCTTAACTCGGCAGGAATCCACGTGGAAGACGAAGTGGATGCGTTTCTTTAAAAAGAGAATATTAAAATCGGAGGAAACGATCAAATGGTGGTACCAAGAGACGAGGCTGTTTCGGAGTTTTCAAAGTCCTCAAAATCTGTGGTCAATCAATTGGCAGTCTTCTCCTCCCCTTTGCCTTTGGCTTTGCCTTGCCTTCTTCAAAGATCGAACTTTTTCGCCAATCACGATCTCACTGTTCGCAAAAACGCAATCTTCAATCAGACTGCTTTTCCATACGTTGCTGACACATTCTTTACTTGCACATTTAGCATCGTCCTCTTACTATGATTGGCATGCTCTCCAAATATGACTAGTTGGTACAAGTCGCCCCCAACATCTACTTGCTCCCGTAGACATTGTCTGTAAACTATAAATAACATCTTCATAGTATTTTTTTTTTCATTTTTCTTAAAATATTACAATAATTTATTCCTTTTAATTTTTTCTTTTTTTTTTTAATTAATCAAATCATCAACATATTAGTACATCCATAGGGATTTTTTTTTTTTTGCCAACCATAGAGAATGTACTCCTATGATCATATTTATGAGGCAAAGAGAGAGTTTTTTTATCCAATTTATAAGTCACTTCATTAAAGTTTTCCTTTATTTATTGTGGTGTAAATTGTTATTTTTTTAAAAGGTGTATATATTAAATAAGAGTAAAATTAAAAAGTTATTATATTTTAATGAAGAGTTAATGTAATTTAAAGTTTTTCTTGATCCTTGTAAAATATATTGGAAGTGTCTTATAAACAAGACCAAAGGAGTAATTCACAACTTCAAGTTTAAAACTCAAGAAAGCTTCCTCATCTTCATGAGAGGACAAGTTGAAATCCTGAAAAATATACTTATTGAGGGAGGCAAAAACTTCTACGGGGCCTAAAAAAATACCCTTAATCGAATAAAAAAATACACTCCAAAAAGTGTTTATTGTGATTCACGTAGCAAGCGCTGGCTTTTAAATATATAATCTAGATATTTATTATATTTTTATATAAATTTTATACAAATTTATATCGTTAGTAAATTATGAACTGTGTGCGTACGTTAAGCTTAGATGAGTGGGAAGACACAGAATTTCCTTTGGGTTCAAAAGGCAATGAATGGACACCTTTTTCAGGTAAGTTTACTTCATAAATAAAAATTAGTATTACCTCCGTCCTAATATAAGACCCAATTACTTAAGTTGAAGTAAGTTAAGTTAGTTATTTGTAATAAATAAATATTGTAATTCCTAAAATATCCTGCTAATAAGTATATTGGCTAAACTATCATTATTAGAAGGATTATCTTGGAAAAATGCATAAATATGAGAGACAAATGGATTGGGTCTTATAATTAGGACCAAACAAAAAGTCAACGGGGTCTATAATAAGGAGGTAGTAATATTATGCCATGCATAGAATCTAAATACTGTAAATTTGATTAATACTTCCGTCTTTATTATAAGACCCCATTTGACTTTTTATTTGGTCTAATTATAAAACCCTAACATTTTGTCTCTTAATTTATGCATTTTTTTCTAAGATAATCCTTCTAATAATGATAGTTTTAACCAATATATTTAATTAGCAAGGATATTTTAGGAATGACAATACTTATTTATTATAAATAACCAACTTAACTTATTTCTTAATCTCCTCAAATAAGTCAATGGGTCTTATAATTAGAACGGAGGAGTATATAAATATAAATGTAAAGTATTAATGATGGACATAGATAGATTGTAAGAAATGGATATCTGTGAAATTGTGACAGTCAGGCGAGCAACAGAAGGAAAAAAGTAAATCTGAATTAAGATATTATGGCAAGAAAACTGAAATAGGATATTCACCCCAACCAAAAAAAAAAAAAAGCTAAATAAGGGACAAATGAATTGTTAGTTTCTTACTTTTCTTTTTCGGACAAAAAAATTGTTACCTTTCTTTCTGGTTTGTGTTCATCCTTATCTAATTTTATTTTGCATTTTTATTTGTTTTTGATCCTATTGAAAATTTTTTTTACCAAAAGTTTTTATTTTTTGAGGAGAGTCTGTAAATTTCTTTCTTTTTGTTTGGGAAATTAAGGCGTTAGGTTGGTGTTTAGCTGGCAAAACACAAACCGTCAGATTAAGTTCAGAGCTTTGATCGCATCATCCGAACCTGAACTGAATTTAACGATCGAAATTAAAAACAGCAACAAGACAGGAGGCTCTTAGGGAGGACATATTTTCCGTTTTGGGGCTCCCACACACCTACCTCATCAGAAATTTCGTATATTATTTTTTTTCACCAAGAGAAATTTCATATAATTTTTTTTTTAAACCTGAGACAACTTTTATATGTGAGATAACTCAAAAAGGAAATTTTTTTAAAATACACTAAAAATTTATAGCTGAACTTATAAGAGTTTTACGTATTATAGAATACGAATATCATACATTTTTCATAATTTAAAGTATATTAATTCTCAACAAATAAAATATAAAAAATTGAATTTTTTTATTCATATGGAAGAAGAGTAAATTCTTACTACTATTTTTCATAACCTGAACTATTTAGATCACTATATTTAAACAATGTATATTTTAATTTAATGCTTAATTCTAAATTTTTAATTAATTAAACAAAATCAAATTTAAAAAAAAAAAAAAAAGAAAAAAAGAAAGAACAACAACAGTCACCCCCAGTGGCACTCAAACAGCGATTGGTTGATGACAGAAGGGAATGAACGAAGAGGAAAGGTCAGAATTGGACGGTGGGCCCAATTCTGAAGAAGAGTCAACAACTCGTGGGACCCCATACCTTCCGATGGACCCCACCTACATGATTCCTTATATATAATCGCTTTCTTCCGCGTACGCTGTTCTGTTCTGCTCTCTCTTTGAATCTTTTTTCTTTCTTATAAATAAAAACTACTATAAAATTACTTAATCCAAAACATTGTGTCTGGAAAGAAATATTCCAACCACGAAATTAATGAGCCAGGAAAATGCCAAAAAAAAAAAAGACAAAAAAATATATAAAGGTTCCCAAAATAAAATGGTGGGTCAGGGGTGAGTCCCTTTTTAATATTTTATTACAAACACTTTAAAATTATGTGCTTGCATCAGTTGCATGCCAGGAGAACAAATTTTTGTCGGGTGCTATACAGAATAAATTTAAACAAATGCAAATGGGCTAGTTGTTCAATAAATTTAGCATCCTCGTCCAACAACTTCTATGTTGTATGTTAGTAATCATGGGAAGTTGGGAACCTTAGGACTTTGTTGTTTGAAATGAAAAATCATATTCCAACTTTTGTATATAAATGATGACACTTATAAATTACTCAACCCAGTCATAACACAAGTCTTTTTCAATCAACTTGACTTGTGTAAAATATAAGCCCAGTTTGATAATGCATAAAGTATCTGCTTTTTTTTTGGGCCCTTGTATATAATTAAACTTTGTAAGTAATTAATTTATTATAAATAATACTAATTCTAATCCTTAATATAAGAGCTTGTTTGACTTTTATTTTGATCTTAAATATGAGACTTCAATTCATCTTGTTTTTCATATTTATCCTCTTTTTTTTCAAGATATTTCTTACAATAGTAATAATTCTACCCAATACACTTAATTAGCAATAATATTTTAAAAACAACAACACGTATTTATTACAAATAATTAACTTAACTAGTTTTCTTAATTTACTCACATTAATTAATCAGTTCTTAATATTAAGGACGAGAGGTGATATAATGGTATATTTCAAAAGTTTAATTTTGTTGACATATTTAATCATATAACTGCCCTTTGACTACCGTTTTTGTTCCATATTCGGTAGTCAAATCAAACTTATATTGCTGAGAGGAGGAATATTGCATTTACAACAACTTGTGAGACTTGCTTCCTGTGAATTCAAATAGAAATTAATTGATCTTAACGAATAAATACATGGCTGGGCCATAACAATACGTCAAACATGCTTCTGAAAGATTTATTTTAGATTTCTCAGACAGGGTAAATGCAGAGGTAATATATGGATGAAGAAACATAATAAAGGAAAGAATATTCTGCACATTTCCAATGTGGTGTGATTGTACAAAACGAATACCAACCAATACATTATCCTACAAACAACAGTTCCCCAATTCAATGGACCTGAAATGTAACATAGCAATCTCATGAACTATCCTATAATTCACCATCATGGCATCAAATCAATATATGGTCAAGGTAAAAATTGGGTGCTAACAAAAATTTAAATAGCTAAATAATGAAGAGGGTAAAGAAAAAAGCTGTGCTAGAGGGGGGGGGGATCTCAACAAAATAAATGTCCTAGCATGCTGTTTTTAGAACCAACCATGACACAGGTTTCAGCTTTCTCCATCTTCATATTCACTTCCTTCAATATTCTCTATTGTCCCTCACAGAAGATCGATAGTAGTATTCTCTCTTTCTCCAACTAGAACCAGAATTAGAGGTGGCATTGTTGCTGTGTCACCATCTGAACTTGTTGCTTAAGAGCATGTCAGGATGGTACCATATCTGCAAAAACGTTGGGATGCCAGCAAAATACACCCACAATGCTTTAAATGTCTTGGCCTTTCAACCAACTTTCTTCTATCTCCCTTCTCAAATTCATGTCCAATAAAAACTCAAGCCGCAAAAACCTGTATTACTTTGTATCTCTTCGGTTCTATATATATATATATATATATATATCTCATACCATAGCTTCTTGCTCCTCAGCTATGACTCCAAGATGTGACAGGTCCTTACAAAATCATTAGAATAATTAACATACTTGGTCCAAAATGGCCGAAGATGATCAAAGCCAATTTGCAACCAGGGCTTTGACTGGCCATTATAGTGGATAACTGCAGCCTTTTTCACGTCCTCGATACTGGTTTTATTTTGATAACCCAAGCCAAGCAGGTGCCAGGAGGGGTCAATGGGATGAACATGACCTCTAAACGCAATCAAAGCAGGTGGTAGGGTTCCAAGCTTCCACATTGTCAGGTTTGACATCAGATTCTGCCATACAGAAGCCGTTAACAACGCCCAG